ATTGCTAAGGACTGGTGCCCTCCATGGAACAGGGTACTTGTCTATTTACTGGGACAGGAAGAAGGCCCTGAGCTAGTTTAAAATAAGGTTGTTTGTCCAAAAATCCTTTGTCTTGGGTTGCCAACTGTCTAAACCAGGGATCGGCAACCTTTGCAGGAAGCAGCATGGGCTGAGGGTTATGCTGGCCGCAGCTTCCCACAGCCCCCATTGGCCTGGAATGGTGAACCACGGCTAGTGGAAGCTGCGATCAGCTGAACCAGTGGACTCCGCTGCACATAAACAAACCGTCCCAGCCTGCCAGCGGATTTCCCTGATTGGCCACGTGCCAAAGGTTGCCAATCCTTGGTCTAAACACACAAACCCAAACACCCTTCCCCGTCCCTGCCCCACCCCTTCTGCGAGGTCCTGCCCACTCACTCCATTCCCCTCCCTCTCCCCACCCTAATTCACTTTCACTGGGCTGGTGTGGGAGAGGGTGTGGGCTCTGGGCTGGGGCCGAGGCATTCGGAGTGTGGGAGGGGGCTCCAGGCTGAGCCTGGGGCAGGGGGTTAGGGTGCAGAAGGGGGTTTGGGGTGCTGGCTCCAGGAAGGGGTTCAGGACTGGGGCAGGGGGTTGGGGTGTGGGAGGGAGTGAGGGATGCAGGCTCCAGCCAGGCGGCACTTACCTCAGACGGCTCCCGGTCGGCAGCACAGTGGGGCTAAGGCAGGCTCCCTGTCTGCCCTGGCCCTGCGCAGAAGCAGCCATCACGTCCCTGTGGCCCCTGGGGGGTGACTAGGGAGGCACTGCAAGTTGCCCCTGCCTGCAGGCACCGCTGCCGCAGCTCCCATTGGCTGTAGTTCCCTAAAATCTCCCAGTTTGGCTTCAGTAGCCTCTGGAGATAGTGCCAATTCTGGGAGACTCCCGGCAAAACCAGAAGGGTTGGCAACCCTACCTTTGTCTGTTGGTGTCCCCAGAAAATCCAGTTTGAACTAGTATATGCACACCTTTCCAAGGGGGTGCCTTCAAAGGGCTGATAATAAAGTATGTATGTTAGTATCCTCCTCCCTATTAGAGAAGGAACATACAATGCCACAAGAACACGTACACAAATGCATTTTTAATGCAACGTACCCCAAGAGTGTTAATCCTCATTGAGTAAGATTTACCTGTATTGTTAATCTTAATTCCATAAGGTTTATTCAGGATATTATGGGATGTTGTCTCACACCCTAGTTTTACTTAGAAGAAAGACCTGAGATGCCAACCTAGTTCTGGAAGCTGAGGAAGGAAACCCTAAGTTTAAGAAATCTTTTGACTCAGATCTTGTGCAAAGAGACAGCAATAGTGCAATGTCAGGCTTGCAGGTGCGTTGTTGGCAGCATGGACCAAGTCTGGTATCTCTGAATCTTAAAGCATGAGCCACTATTCCCTGAGCTAAAAGCCTCACCTCTGTTGGTCACAGCTGTAGCAGGCTCATTAACCTCTATATATTGTCTAGCCACCACTAGACAGGGACAGAATGCCACACTAAGTGTGTGTGGTTTATATTAGTTACACACAGTTTAGTGAAAGGAGCTGAAAACAGAGCTGTTCTAGTAAAACATAGGCAGGGGAAAGGAACCCTTGAAAGGCCCGTTTTGTTTAGGGAAAGTATATCCTGGTTTTTCCCTTTGCTAATTTGTTTCTGCAAAATACAGACAGAGAAGGAAACCTTTAGGGGTGGATTATGCCAGAATCCAGGGGACGGGAAAAACCTCTGGCTGGGGAAAATGTTGATTATATTTTGAAAATGACTCCATGGGTATGACCTGTTACGAACTATTCCAGTTAGGACACGTACAGTTTGTTTCTAGGCTGAGGCAACCAAATAAAGACAAACTGCAGAGTGTCTCAAAGTTTGTAGGTTTATTACGCTCGAGCGTGGTACCGCCCTGTTAAGGAGAACGGGACCCCGATTACAGGTTACACAAAGATTATATACTGTTGGCAAAACATCCTTCCCGTGTGCCTCGGGGGGCCTAAACCCATAAACAGGCCTTCTCTTTATCTATCACCAATCCCCTGCAGCCACCTTCCCCCTGCAAAAAAGCTGAAGCGGCAACTATTTCAGGCATGTCGGCTGGTTCTTGTCTCCTTTGTTTCCCTTATCTTGAAACTGTCCAGTTGTCCACCTTGAAGGATCCTTCCTTCCTTGGTATATGATGTGCTCGCTTCTAGTTAATGGCCGACAGGAAACCCAAAATGGAGTCACATATGCTAACTAGGTTGATTTCCCCTAACAGTCCCTCCTTTTCTTATGTACGTCAGTAAACTATACCAGAGCAGAATAACCTCAATGCAAGATTAAAATTTGCTGGCAGCACATACTACAGCATTGTAGGCATACAAGGAATAATACAAAAACAGAAACAGCCGTAAGAATGAGGTACAAGATACACCTTCCCCAAGCCCCCAAGTCTGGCAGCCAGGCGGTGAGCCAGCTCCAGGCCTCATGGAATCCAGTACTGGTGTCATCAAGGGTGACACGGTGAAGCGAGGTGGCCTGCTGCATAAGGATGTGGATATCGGTTTCCACCCTGCGGTATTGATTCACAAAGACACAACAGCTTGAGCTAACAAGAGCACAACCCTACCCCCACCCCCCGGGTTTGCAAGGAGATAGTCCAAGGCTAAGCAGTTCTGCAGTGTGGTCTGAGATAACTGAGTCACCTCAATTTGAAGGGTAGACAAGGTGCCTGCGGTGGCATTTGCCATTAATTCTAAGGCTGCAGAAATATTAACTATAGCCTTTTCCAATTCACTCACTCCCACCCAGGGCAAAAACCAACGAACAAAGGAGTAAAAGCCTGTAGGCTGTTCAGAGAGAGGGTTTAATGGGACATTTCATCGGTTCCTCCATACCAGGTTCCGAATTTCCCCCTGAGCCAGGGGCTGGTGTATTGCAAAGCGGGTACTATGGCTCCTAAGGTGCATGTGCCACACCAACCTGCCGGGAGGACCTTATAAGCCATGTGGTTGCACAACCAGAACCAGCCCGATCCCTCAGGGACCAGCAACGGCGCCCTGGAATACTTGGGGGAACTTGCCGCACCAGAGCTAATGTGGGTGGTATCCTTGCACCCTACAAAATTACTCACAAAAACTGTATTTTCAAAATTCTTACGTTGTGACACACATAAAGCATAACTACCCTGGGCCACCATATCAATAGACCAAGTTTGGATTGTAACATTCCAGTTAAATGGAGTGTCTGTCCATAATCCGGCCTGGAGGGTTCGGTTGAGAGGGATAGGCACCCCTATCAACGGGATTCCCTGACCTATGTATGTGGGGGTATGAATACAGACCCAACACTGTGTTCGGTTAACCCCCTGTGCTATAGCATGGGTTAAATCCAGGAAGCTGTTGCCTTCCCATCAGTGTACCGAATTCAAGAATAGAGAAGGGATTCCACAGGCCACCCATACCAGTATTTGCATCCTCCCGTGTACCACGCAAAAAACAGGACAACAAATATAAGTCCAAGTAACAAGAAAACAAGAAGTCCTGATGGAGTCTCGAGATCCCAATAGTTGGGGAGTTCAGCCCACCCAGGGACGCCAGTGGTGTGCATTCACGGGGTGGCTCGTCAGACAGCTCGTCAGGCCCAGGCAGGGGACCCTGCACCAACTTAGTGTAGCTATGATGGATCCAGGAACTTCTACCTACAACTTTTAAAGCAGAATAAGTACATAACAGAACCTGGTATGGCCCCTCCCATCGGGGTTCCAAGGGGTCTGTACGGGGGAATTTTTTTACCACCACCCAATCCCCTGGTTTGAAGGGATGAACCTGTAACCCCAATGGCGCAGTTTGAAACAATTGAGCTGCAGACTGGTTGTTATTGAGCTCTATTTGTAATCTGGCTACATACCTGGCCAAGGTCTCATCTCCATCCAAAAGGCTAGTGTGAGCGGGAACATAGTTTCCCGGAATCAAAGCCGGCCTCCCAAACAATACCTCGAATGGGGATAAGTCCAGGGGCATGCGTGGGGCCCACCTTACGTGCCACAGGGCTATGGGCAAAACCTCTGGCAACTTCAGTCCAGTCTCTTTGCAAAACTTTGCTACCATCATCTTCAGGGTTCGATTCATGCGCTCCACCTGCCCTGCCGACTGGGGGTGGTAAGGGGTGTGGAGTTGTCGCACAATCCCCAGGCACCAGTACAGCTCCTCTAAAATCTTTGCAGTGAAGTGTGATCCTCAGTCCATGTCGATGACTTCAGGGACTCCAAATCTGGGCACAACGTCTTTCAGCAGAAATTTTACCACAGATCTGGCATCTGCTTTTCTGGTTGGTACTGCTTCGGGCCATCTGGAAAGTTGATCCACTATTACAAGGAGGTGGCTAAACCCTGAGCTTTTAGGCATTTCTGCATAATCCATCTGTAATTGCTGAAACGGGAAGTTAGCCCAAGCTCTCCCCCGTAGTGTTGGCATCGAGCCGAGAACGAGCAGAGAAGGCCAGGCAAGTAGAGCAGGAGCCAAGAACTCGCTTCACTGCTGGATAGACATGAGGCGCTGCCCAACATTTAAGAATAGCAGCTGCAGTGGCCTGAATGCCAGCATGACCCAAAGAATGAAAATAGTGGGCGGCCGAGAGCAGATAGCGACGGGGGAGAATAGGTTTTTTCCCGATTCGCCAAACCTTATCGACGCCTTCAGAGCCTTCCCAACGTTTCCAGTCCTGGAGCTCGTCAGGCAGCACATCAGCATACAAGTGCGTCCAGTCCGTCGGCTGGAAGGACGTATCCAAAGAAGAGTTGCTGACACCGGGAGGGGCTGAAGGCAGCAGTCTTTGCGGCCGCATCAGCCAAGGCATTACCTTGAGAGACAGGATTCTCAGACTGCTGGTGGACAACAGCCAGTTCAAGAGGACCTTGAATGGCGCCCAAAAGTGCAGAGATTAAAGGGCCATTTGCAATTTTAGTGCCTGAGGAGGTTAGAAACCCTCGCTGTTTCCAGAGCTGGCCCGTAGCATGTCAAACCCCGAAGGCATATCTAGAGTCTGTATAAACGGTAACAGATTTCCCAACAGACAACAAGCAATCCCTAGTAAGAGCATGCAATTCCGCGCCCTGAGCACTGAAGGAAGGTGGAAGGGGGGCTGCTTCTACAACAGTTGTCTGAGTAGTGACGGAATAGCTGGAAACCCGCTGGCCCTCCAAATAGAAGGAGGAGCCATCGGTAAAAAGGGACAGGTCGGGGTTTTTCAGAGGGAGGTCACGTAAATCCAGGCGAGGCTTACCGCTCTCAGTGATGACATCCATACACACATGGTGAGCCGTGCCATCCTCTGGAAGGGGTATCAGTGTAGCAGGGTTGAGGACGTTGCAGCGGTGAAGGGTGATGTTGCCAGCAGCCAGCAGAATCAGCTCGTATTTGTGTGCCCGCTGTGGAGACAGTGTCTGCGTTCTTTGCTGTTTTAAGAGAACCTCAACCTCGTGGGGGACCCAGACAGTCAAAGGGTGCCCCAGAACAATAGGGCGTAACCGTTCCACCATAAGGGCTGCAGTGGCAATGGACCGCACACAGGAGACTGATCCCCGAATGACAGGGTCTAATTGTACGGAATAGTAAGCTATGGGGCGTGGGCGATCCCCTAGGTACTGCAATAGGACACCACTGGCCACTCCCCACTGCTCGTGACTGAAGAGAAAAAATGGTTTACCGTAATCCGGGAGTCCCAAGGCGGGTGCAGAGATCAGGGCTTTCTTTGTGGACGCGAAAGCGGCTTCCATCTCCGGGTCCAGAGAACAGGATCGGGGTTAGAAGTTGTGGTGGCCTGGACTAACAGTTTCACCAATTCCCCAAAGGCCAGTATCCAGGGTCGGCAGAACCCCGCAGCCCCCAGGAAAGCCCGCAACTGCTTTTTTGTAGTAGGGCACGGGTAATCCTGGATTGCCTGCACCCTATCAGGGGAGAGTAAATGCTCTCCAGGCTGAATCACTAAACCTAAATAGATCACCTGGGTTTGGCACAGCTGCAGCTTGGATGGAGATGCACGGGGGCCCTTATTAGCTAATGCAGTAAGCAGAGTAACAGAATCAGCTAAACACGCATTATAATCAGAGCTAGCAATCAACAAATCATCCACATATTGGACTAGAACAGAGGAGCTAGGCAAAACAATGTCTTTCAAATCATTGGCTAGAATTCGCGAAAAAATAGTGGGGGAGCCTGAGAACCCTTGGGGGAGGCGCGTCCAGGTTAGCTGCTGACCCCAAGTGAATGCAAACAGATATTGGGAGTCGGGGTGCAAAGGAATACTGAAGAATGCAGCACACAAGTCTACAACCGTGAAACAACTTGCCGACTGGGGAATCAGTGTCAGGATAGTACTCGGATCAGGGACCACTGGGTGGGGGGTTTATAACATAACTATTTATCGCACGCAGATCTTGAACTAACCGATAAACTGGGTGCCCATCCGGGCCCAGTTTTGGCTTTTTCACAGGAAGGATAGGAGTATTACAAGGAGAACTGCACGGAACCAAGACCTCCTGGGTTAAGTAGCTAGAGATAAGAAGGGAAATACCTTCCTCCGCCTCCTTCGGCAAGGGATATTATTTTACGGAGGGAGGCGGCCCATCCCTCACCTGCAGACTGACTGGAGTGGCTGATTTAAGGAGGCCCATGTCGGTGGAACTCACGCTCCACAAATTGGGTGTAACGCAGGACAATTCTGTGGGGAGATCGGGAATCGGGGTAACCGAGGCCATAAGAGAAGCAACCGCCGAGTCCAGGACGGACATGCGAAGCCCCTCGGGGGCACAATATATGTGGGCTCCCAGCTTGCTAAGCACGTCCCGCCCAAGAACGTTAGCGGAGCCTTCTGGCATAACAACAAATCTATGTGACAACTTTAAAGAAGCCAGCTCCACAGGGACGGGGCAGGATAGGGGAGCTGGGCACAGGTTGCCCTCAATACCTTGCCCCCAGACCTTGGTATTAGAAAGAGAGCCCGGAACAAAAGTTAAAGTGGAAAGGGTGGCTCCGGTATCCGCCAAAAAGGGCACAAACCGTTCCTCAATTTTCAAGTAAATTTGCGACTGCAATCCAAGATCCCATTCCAACTCTCCCACGGTTCCCAAAATCTCCACCTCTAGTCACTGGGGATTAGCAAAGTCCTAAGGAGCGTTAGGGGGAAAGGAGGAACCGGTCTCCGGCTGATCCTGCCAAGGAGCCCCTCGTGGAAGCAGGGGGCATTCCCTCTTCCAGTGCCCCGGTTGCTTACAATAATTACAGTTCCCGTTCCTTGTCCCACCCCATCTTCCTCCCCGTCCTGTCCTGCGTCCGCGTTCCCTCCCCCCTGTATTCCCGTGTCCCTGCCAGTGCTGATTCCCCAAGGGAACCTGCAATGTGGCTGCCAACATACTTACTTCCTCCTTCTTTTGCTTACGTTTTTCCTTAGCTATCTCCTCGTCCCTAGCATTGAACACAAAAGTGGCCAGGCGAACTACTTCGCTTAGGGGTTTCCCTGGCCAATCGGGAACATGCTTAGCTAAACACTTCTTTATGCCCAGTGCCGCTTGATCGACAAAGTAAGAGACCAGCATTGTGCAGCTAACCCCGGCTTCTGGCTCCACTCCTCCCCCATACATTCTAACCTGCTTAAACAAGCGGGCCAAAAATGCAGGCGGATGCTCGTTTAGGTCTTTCTGGCATTCTCTAATTTTTGACCAATTTGCTGTCTTACTACCCGCCCTATGGATGCTCTCCAGGAGCCCTTCCTGGGCAGCTGAGAGGCTGGCCTGGTCATTGAGGTCGTTAGGATTCCAACCTGGATCGGCTTCGGGTCAAGGGGTGCGATTCTCAGCGTCCCCCACCCAACACTGATTAGCGTCTAGAATAGAATACCTCTCATCAGGGGTAAATAGGGTTTGCAAAATAGCCTGGACGTCTGCCCAGTTAGGGTAAAATGCCGTAAAGACTGAATGGATAGTCTGTAGGACTCTTTCCGGATAGTCGTGCAACCTCGGCATCTGTGACTGCCAGGTTACCAGGTACCCAGGACCAAAAGGGCGGTGGACCGTGATCATAGTGACACGGTCAGTGCCCGTCGCAAAGGGCTGTTGTATCAGGGGCACTTGAAGCGCAACAGGGGGTAGGGTTAGAGACGGGGCAACAGGAGGAGGAGTAGGGGGAAGAGACGAAGGAGGGAAAGCAGCATAGGGCGGAGCGGAACCCACAAGCGGCACGCAAACCTTAGATCTGGTACCAGAGCCCAAAGTCGAGGGGCGCCCCTTATCTCGGGCGTATGCCCAATTATCCCATACATACCAATAATCCATTTGAGCTGGATGCTTGTCCTCCAGCTGTTGTCTAAGGCAGGTTAATTCATCCTGTCCAAAATTCCGTCGGGTGGCCATCCAAAGGGCCTCTGAATAGTCAGCGCTGGCCACTCAACTTTACACAAAATTACAGTTCTCCTTTTAACTAACCCATGGGTGCCAGAAATATTTTTCCAATTCTCGAGAATCTCAGCCAAAGGGGTTCCCCTGCTCACACTCTGCCCAGAGCCCATTCTAAGGCTACCAAAACAACGCCTAATGTGCCACCTTTTCGCCTAAGAGACAGCCCACACTTCCGTTCCTCGGAGTTCTCGAAGGTGAACTCACCCGGTGCCGGCTGGAGTTGTCCGAGGGAAGGAGTGCGGCTTCGCTTACAAGGGCGAGCCTAGGGTGCTTTCATGGTCACCAAAACTGTTATGAACTATTCCAGTTAGGACACGTACAGTTCGTTTCTAGGCTCAGGCAACCAAATAAAGACAGATTGCAGAGTGTCTCAAAGTTTGTAAGTTTATTACGCTCGAGCGTGGTACCGCTCCGTTAAGCAGAACGGGACCCCGATTTCAAGTTACACAAAGATTATATACTGTTGGCAAAACATCCTTCCCGTGTGCCTCGGGGGGCCTAAACTAATAAACAGGCCTTCCCCTTACCTATCACCAATCCCCTGCAGCCACCTTCCCCCTGCAAAAAAGCTGAAGCGGCAACTATTTCAGGCATGTCAGCTGATTCCTGTCTCCTTTGTTTCCCTTATCTTGAAACTGTCCAGCTGTCCACCTTGAAGGAGCCTTCCTTCCTTGGTACGTGATGTGCTCGCTTCTGGTTAATGGCAGACAGAAAACCCAAAATGGAGTCACATATGCTAACTAGGTTGATTTCCCCTAACAGACCCTTTATTATTTGTGGTTTACTACACACTGAGAAGTAAACCCTGTGGGGAGAGACTGAAAACTCAGAGTACTGGGAAGGAAAAATCTTGACAGGAAAGTTTTTATTTATTTGGACAACTCCATAAGCATAGTCATTTGTCCATATTACCGGTCAAATTTAACAAAGTTAGAATTCACAATAAAGGATTCCGCCTCCAAGCAATACTGGAAAACTCAGAAGGAAGCTGCATCATCAATATTCTAAGTTTGATTTCCAGACAAAAAAAAGTTTGGAAACTTTGGATAAACTTGTAAAAACACAGATGTGTAGCAGAGTGATTATTATTAAACTCCTAAACCCAGTTAGGTTACCCTTGCTGGATATGTTGAAATATTTTTTAAAAAAATAATAACCTTCAGAGAATGCAGTACACTCTTTGTATTTATCTTTCTGCTAATCAACCTGCTCCTTTCTCATTTGTCCTGCCAATTACTGCATTCTCTGACCGTCTAGGTTTTCAGAGTTGACCCCCCTACATCCACATTGCCTCAAAACACAACACAAATACCACCTTCAGCTTACACCCTACACAAACTAGAGAAAGCTTCACCAGTGATGGAATATTATATTTCATTTAAACGAAATGTATCTTACTAAAGGTGGACCTGGACAACACCTGAATTATAAACATTCCCGGATCTTTGTACAGCTGAACTTTGCATCTTGAGCCCTTCTCTATAGCTTACAGGCATAGTAGCTGAATCTTGAGAAATTCCAATTTTTTGTCCAGTTCTAGAAAATAGGTAATTGATTATATGACATTTGCAATTGCAAACGTTTCTTTTTAATTTGCAACATATTGTACATACAGCAGTAGACTACAGTGAATAAGAACAAAACACGTTATGTTATGTCAAGTAGGCCTGCATCTGATTAACTAAATTGACCAAAACTAAAATAGTGTAATACGACTCAGTAGATCAAGTTAGAAATATGAAGAAAAACGTTTAAAGTACTCTTGAGATCAACTAGTACATATAATGGCAATCCCACATTGATTATGCATGTAATAGTAAAAATACATCACTTCTTATTAACCAAAAAGGTTTCTCAGTTAAACTAAAACACAGTAAAGAAAACTATTTTTGCATCTCAGAAACAATGTATTTTCTTTCATATGCAGCATGTCTCTCCTCAAAAATTATGATACTTTAATGAAACATGTCAACAAAATAATAGCCTCCACATACTAAAAGTTATAGTGTATTTTTAGGTCAATAGCTAAATTATATAAGAGTTACTCCACAAGGAACTGAGACCTTAATTCAGCAAAACACATGCTTGACATTAATTTTATTCTGTTCTATATAGTTTCTTATCCTAACCTCATCACAGTCCTATCTGAGTTTCTTCCACTAGTGCATTAAGCAACATGACTTAAATCTGTCTCATACGATTCGTTCTTTCTCGCTCATCCTCTCCCCAAGGGAGAGCTGTGTGTGCAGTGGAATCTTTATCTGGGTAGGGTTTGGGGGTAGGTGGAAGGTGGTTTTGGGATGGTCTTTCGTTCCTGAGAGGAGTTTTGTGTAGGCAATGGGGAGGAAGGGACCATTTGGGGGCCAGTGTGACCAAGGTTGAGGCTAGCATATAATGAGTGTGACTCACTAGATCTTTGACTCATCTGGTGGGTGGATTGCTGCTGTCCTTTAGCATGCTCTGGAAGTTGATGCAGAGTCTTTTTGGTCAAATCAGGGTCATGATTGCCTGGGAGTTGAGAGCTCTGACCACAGCCTTAATAAGATGATTGTCTGTCCAAAACAGTGGCTGAATTGAGATATATTTGATATTGACTGACATCTCAACCAAAGACAAGGTCCAAGGTGGACCAGAGATGATCTGTAAGATTCCTAGAGAGGCAAGTGGGGAGAGAAGGTAGTATTGCCTAATAGGCAGAGCATTGCACTAATTCAGCAGAGCTAGGTTCCAGTCCCAGCTTTGCCACTGGCCTTCCAAATGACATTAGGCAAGTCATTTCACCTCTCTGCACCTCAGTTTCCCCATCTGTAAAAGGGGGATAATAATGAATACTTTCTGTGTAAGTGTTCCGAGGTCTACTGATGAGAGTGCAATACAGGAGATAGGTAGTATTATTATTTGGGTTTTGTCACATTGGATACTGAAATTTCATCACCATTATGCACAAAGTATCAGTGAGCTCCTTTATGAACCCTTTAGATCTTGGGAGGGGGCTTTAATTTAATTTAAAATCTGCTAGCTTTGATGTTGTTAGATAAATTAATTCAAATGAACTTGTTTTTTACCTGAGCCACCTCTTTTGGATTTGATGTTTGAAGAAAAGATGAATACAAAGCTGCCCACCTTCCCCTGTGTGTGTGACTGGGGCCCCAGGGAGGCCACTCTGAGGTTACTCAATTAGGGCAAAGAATGAGGCAGACAATCTCCAAAGCTGGTGGATAGTCCAATACTTACATTTACCAAGACAGCACAAAACAGCTTCTACAATACCTTACTGGTTACCCACAAGCCAAAACACAGTTCTCTTAAAGCAATCCAGCCTTGGGTTTCCACCCAGACACCCAAGTCAGATATGAGGATTACTGAAAATCTTATTCATCATAGAAGGAAGTTCTACCAATCCCAAAGGATTGGACACATTACCTCCCAAGTTAATGAACATTTCAGATCTTATCCAAATATATGTTTACCGCCAGTTCTTACTAACTAAACTAAAAATTAAAAAAGAAGAGAGAGCGAGAGTATTGATTAAAAGATCAGTATACACACAGGCATGGTTTAAAGGGATTCACATGTGAGGTTCAGATATTGTGACAGGCTCTGTACAGGTACATATTGGGTCAAGAAGCCCTCCAATGCATGTGTAAGCAAGGAACAGCCAGGGTCCTTTTCCTTGCCCTCACTAAGTACAAGACAAGGGGTTGCCTAGCAAAGCCAGAAATGCAAAACTCTTCAAAAAGACCTTGTCCACAGGACCCCCAAAAAAACCCTTTTGTGCATCTGCTGGCAAATGAAGAGAAGCACTGCTAATGCAATAATATCATTCCAGGAAGTGCACTTATCCAGAGGAAACAATTCCAGGAACAAACATTAGTAGTAGTATTTGTAACTTGTATAAAGTAGTGTCTCAAGGCCCCAACCTAGATCAGGGCCCCAAAGTAATAGACAATTCCCTCCCCCCAAATAGCTTACAATCTAAGTAGACAAGACAAACAGTGTGAGGATGGGCACAGGGAGGGATTATCATCATTTCAATTTTATAGGTGGGGAATGGAAGTGTTTATATGAGACACTGAGGGAGATGCCACTGGAAGGGAAAAGGGAGGGAAATGAAGCAAAATAAACTCATAAGGAGGGAAAGG